CATTTCCTTTCAATTAAACGGTTAGTTCATCCAAATCACATTTGTATCAAAGCTATTGTATTCTTTTTGTCATTTTTGCAACTCAACAGCACCGTTCTCATTCACTTTCATTGTACGCAAAAGAGCTGTATGAGTTTTGCAGAGGCTTTTGTAGACGATACTAGACAGAATAAGAAGGGTGATACCGTCATTGTCAGATTATATTGCTTTGAAATATGTTATTGATAGAATATCTTGACACAAGATTTTGTAGACCATTTCAACTATGATCATTGCTAACACACTGAAAAAATAATTGTATTTACAGTGCAGGTGCATAAATTAAGCATAAAGCCATGCAATTTCCTCATATATGTGACCCTGGACCACAAAAGTAGTCTTAAGTCGCTGGGGTATATTTGTAGCAATAGCCAAAAATATATTGTATGGGTCAAAATTATAGATTTTTCTTTTATGCCAAAAAATAATTAGGATATTAAGTAAAGATCGTGTTCCATGAAGATATTTTGTAAATTTCCTACTGTAAATATATCAAAACTTTTTAAATATTTTTAATTAGTAATATGCATTGCTAAGAACTTCATTTGGACAACTTTAAAGGTGATTTTCTCAATATTTAGATTTTTTGCGCCCTCAGATTTTCAAATAGTTGTACCTCAGCCAAATATTATCCTATGCTAATAAACCATACATCAATGGAAAGCTTATTTATTCAGATAATGTGTAAATCTCAATTTAGAAAACTGACACTTAAGACTGTACAAATTTACACTTAAAAAAATATTTTAAAAAAAAGTTTATTGCAGTAGGGTTTACAAGAAAATTCTTATCTTAAATACTTAAAGTACTTGTCGTTTCTTTGTAATTATTTGTGAAATTAGCAGTGAAAAATATTTCAAACTAAATGCTACTCCATTTTTAGTGTATATCAGCTTTCTTGCTTGTGATATTGCTTAATGTATGGTCAGATTGAATGTTTTTCAAGATATTGCCCAACAACTTCTGTCTATAAGCTGTTGAAGCAACAGAAAGATGATGCACTGTTGGCGTGGACATCTCTGCTCCATTGCCCAGTTTGATCCATAACCAGAACCGAGTTGACAGGAGAGGAGAAGACGTCTACTCTGGATGTCACTTGAAAACAATCACTTGATCGACCAACTGTATCTACTCTACCTATTCCCAGAGAGGAAGACAAGACAGGCACAGAGAGACAGACTGAGTTATAGGTAAAGGAAAGACTGAGACAGTCATTCCCGACTCGTGTGAGAGAGCGAAAGAGAGACCTTTTCCCACACAGCGACAGTAACTCTGCCCAGAGGAGCAATGCCCATTCCCATCCATCTCACCATTTCACAGGCTGGAAATCCCCCGGCTGCACAAAGAGCCAAATTTAATACTGAGCCTCTGCAGGCGCAGGAGGGTCCCCTGACCAATATTGATACGAGAGGTACCTTTGTGTGAGAAACCTTAAGGGAGCAAAACAATTGTTGTGGTTTCCGGGTCCATATTATGCCCAAGTGCGGCGGATATGCATTACGTTTTGTTGATTAAAGGGAATTGTACACTCACGTTCGCAATCGATTCCTTTTCTTCGCAGACATTTAGCCTTGTACCTGTCAGACTATTTTGGGAACTCGGGTCATGCTTGCTGAGTTGTTCAGCGAATGAAGCGCTGTGTAATTTGAACGCGTGTTGTCCGCTCAAGGCTCGGATGCCACCAAGCACCAACTGTGTCAAATATGCACAGTCACCTGGTTGCAGGCCCAAAGGTAATAGAAACGTGAAGTGGGTGGTTCACTTTCTGCCATTGTGACTTTATAAAATCAGCTAGGTAGTAATTGTAATTCAAATCGTTTATATATCACCTCTACAATCAGCTCATGAGTGATGCTTGGGGACAGGAAATGAACGGAGCTCAACTTACATTTTAAGACATGGATTTTGTAATATTGTGTAGGGATGTGTTTTCAGAAGCGAGTAGTTGGTTGGTTGATATCTTTACCTATACATTTTTATGAGTGTTTATAATTTATAATAATATATAAATTATAATTAGGGTGTGTGT